GTTTCTTGTTTTTTCATTTTATGTTCTTGTTTCCTTTAACCAATACATTTTTCCTTTAAATTCAATACATATGTACTCTTATGTAAGGTATAAATAATAAAGTCTGATGTTTAGGCGTGTTAAAAAAAAAAACAAAAAAAAATAAATTTTTTAACATGATAATAGGAAAAAAGTGTGAAAGCAAACCTCTTAGTGCATCTTATGGTATAATGACTATGGGCTTATCTAATCGTTGTATATAGTGTTAGTGGTTTTGTATTTTTTTTTTTTTTGGCCTTAGTTGAAAAGGGAAAAGCGCAAAATTTAATTTTAAAGAAGAAAAACTGGTAAATTCAGTTCACTTCAATTTCTTTTCTTGTTGCTTTTGTTGTTTTTTTTTCTCACTGTCTTTCACTGAATTAAATCTATTTGTATTATAAGGTATTCTTATGTATATGTGTTTCCTTAATAAACATATTGTGTTTAAAATCTCTAACGGAAAATCTTATGATTTTTCATTGAAAAAAGAAAGTGATTGGATATTGTATAAAGGCATATTTCGTGCGTATCAGAAATTTTACATGAAGGAATATGAAAAGAAATTTTACATGTTGTATCTGTTATAGTTTCACCTGTTTACCAATGATTCATAAATTGAGTTTAATTTAAAAAGATCAAATAGTTTAAAAGGTACGATTTCAAATATTGCTTTTATTTATGAAAAATAATTTTCATATTATTAATAATAATAACGAAATTGATAGGCTAGAGCACGTGTAAAGAAATTCTTTAAAAATTTCACTAACGAGAGTAAAAACGCAATATAGTTAATAAATAGTGTAATCGAATAGATAGTGCAAATTGATTTTTAACGTAATTTCCTGTGTAAATATGATACCTTATTTTACGGGATTGTACATCAGAAAAAAAAGATGGCAGTATTAGATAACCAACGATATAAGATAAATTGAAACAACTTTAAAAAAATTACTTTGTTAATATCGAAAAAATCGCATGGAATTCAAGAATCCTGACTTGAAGCATTTTACATTTTTATGGAGTTTGTTTGAAGATTGTAATGAAGAAGCTTTCTTTATTCCTTTGGTAATATTCCTAAAAAGAAGTATATAGTTTATAGGTTTTTTAAAAACCTAATTATAGGGAAGATTTTCAGAATTTAAGGCTGCAATTTGCATACTTCCAAAATTTTGCGATACATATTTTCGGACTGCCGTGAAAGCGGAACGGTTGGCAGAAAAGCAACTTATAAATTTCTATCTTTAATTTGAAAAATTTAGTTTGAAGTAAATGTATCATTTTTATTGTGATTATAATTATTATTTGGAGATCCAAAACAATACAGAAACGCTTTTCAGATTTAATGCAGACCTCAAAGCAAAGGCTATATTTTCGAAAATTTACATAACTTTTGAATATTTGTAAAGAAATATTTTCTACCTAAAAAGTACCTCACAATATTTCTGACAAACACAATATTTTACAGGATAGTACTATTCCACCATGGCCTTTCGAGAACGACACTAAATTTTGCATTATTATTTTCAAAATATTGAAATATCAGTGACTATTTTAAAAATATATTCATGATTGTATAATGCATTACACATCTAAACAAGTTGAACATTACATATAGCTATTATATTGTTATATAAGCTTACTAACGAATACACATACTCATAAAATTAATTAATATTTGTTTAATATTAGGGAAAAAATTATTATTTTTATTATTATTAGTATTTTCTTAGAAATTAACGATTATTTCATCACTTTTATTCGATTCAAATATTCGAAGGACAATTGTAGACGGTAGACATTTTAAATAAATATTAACATTGCGTGTTCACAGGATATTGAATTATCAATTCATTTTAATTAGTTCTAGGGAAAAATAATTTTTATTTTCTCTCATATTTATTTACCCATGAATAATATCGCATTAAATTTGTTGTTATTTTGGAAAAACTAGGATCGCCAATATATTATACGAATACCGAAAACCACTATATGGCATTGCTATACTTGGTGATATAAAAAAAATTATAATTCTTTACATTGTTCAGTAATATCACGTGCCATATCGAGAGAAAAGGCGGGGTAAATTCTTTTAATGCTTTCATATTTAGTTTTTTTTTTCCTCATTCATATTAAAGTTTAATGTGTTAATGATTATTATATACGAATAAAATAAAATTAATATACAAATTATTAATATTATTAAATTGAATTCGTAAAATGTAGCGTTGTTTTTATAATCGGAAGTCGGTGATATAAAAAATGATATCACTTTTATATTTAATATAAAACTTTTACTTAAATTTGTCATAGGAAAATTGAATTGAAAAATGTAGATATGTATTCTACGAAGAAAATGTATATATAACGTGAGTGTTATTTTGAGATTTAAGGGATTTTTTGGATTTATGTATTAAATTTGCTACTCTACATTCAATAATTAAAAACTGAAGCAATTTTTCTTTAAAACATTATTTTCAGTTTGAAAAATTGTTACTTCTATAATGTCCGAAGGATCAATCTTCATCTACAAAAGTAAAGTTTCGTAAAAAAGGATTAAAAATATTCCCTGGATCCTGAAAACGTCTCTATTTTTTGGTGGCAGGGAAGGTGTCATGGATCTGACTGGATGTGATAAAATGAAATGAAATTTTGTTGCGTGTGTCTACAATTTCTATCTATTCACCTTGAAATCTTATCTTAAATCTTTAATAACTTCTGCGCTATAGAGAACCTAATGAGCTGGGAGAGTATTAGAGATAAAAAGTATTAGGTGGCAGCTTCCATTCTATTGTACATGGGCGTAGGCAGGCTGTATAGTCTTTACTCTTGTCCTTAAAAATTACAGGAAACTAAGTGGAAGAGATTTAAAATAAAAAGGACTAATTTTTGGAAAAGCTACTTAGACTCATCTTCTAAAAGTAAAATAAGCAAAACACACATTTCAAATACTTAAAGTGAATACTTATAGTGAAATTTAAGAAATACTTAAAGTAAAATTTAAAACTTTAAATAACACTACAAAACCCAATCGTTTCTCAGTATAGTATAAAAGGATATTGGCTAAGAACGGAGTTTCTATATTACTTTGTTAATATCGGAAATAATAATATAACTATATTAAAAAATTAATGCTTAGTTAATTAATATCATCCTGCTTATACTAGATCTAAGTAAAATTTAAAATCATTTAATAGTAAAAATTTTAAGTAAAGAACCAAAGGCCTGTAGTTCTAGAGGAAATAATTTAATTTGTGAGGAAAGGAAACAATTTAGTTCGTTAAAACTTCAGAAATTTTAAATTTCAAAGCGATATTTTGGAAAGTAAGAAAATAGAACAATGAAGAACACTTATATTAATACATTAACACTAAGGTCTTAAAAATAAGTATAATACAAGAAATACAAGATAATGTGTAACTAAAATTTTTCAGTTTTAAGCAAATAATTGTAAATACTTTTAACAGACAATTCGATTGTATTAATAGGTCCATATTTAGAATTTTAATGTTTAAAAATATGTGTCGAAAATTTTAACACCACATACATATAAGTGTATTACGAAATTTTGAAATTATCGTAATAGAAATTAGATTGCAAATCTAAAGAAAATTAACATTTGTGTGAAACAATAAATTACATTTTATTTTAATATATTCATTAACATTTAATTTATTCTAATTTGTATGTACAATTCATCTAATAAACCTATTAGCAATTCCGTTTTATAGGGAGAAATAAGTTTACAATTAAAATAAAAGTAAGAATATACAGTGATAGATAAAAATATTTTGCTGAATTTCACATACAATACATAAATTCTTAAATTAAAATTGCACACCAACACCACATAAAAATCGTTAAATGTAAATTCAATTGCTGAATAAAGTGTGAACAATTACATATATATATAAAATATAAGATTCAAACTTGTTAGTTTTAGAGTAGGTGTAAGGGAACATTTACCACTTTATTTTTTGACTGAAAAATGTTTAGTTTTATAATAAGGTTAAATTATAGATCTATATTAGAAGGCGGAATTTGAATTCTGTCTGAGATTACGACTGAAATTCGAATGCGATGATTAAAGCTGAGAAATCGGCTGGATTGCTTTCAATCGACGTGAATTGAAATTTTAAGAAAAATAAAAATCTTTATTCACACTTTGACAATTTGACATGATATATTTTTTGAATATACTATGATGAAAATATGTGCTATTATAAGCATGGTTTGAAAAAATATAAAAAAGCATTTAGATGTGACATAATTTTATTGCGCCCCTTTACTGTAAAAAATGAATGGATATGTGCTTGAAATTTTTTTTGATAAATTGGAAATTGTTCAAAAATTGGGCTGGGGCATGAAATGTTAATTAAACATTTTAAATTTTTTCATAATAATTATGCCTACATAAGCTTTATAAATTCAAAAAAATTTTTGTATAGGTTGCATAAATTCAGGCGTCATTAAAATTTTCTCATGCTTTTATTAATAATTATTGTGGTGTGTTAAGAGAACAAATTTCTGTAAACGTTTATAATACACTGAAAAAAAAAAATTAAATAAAGGACTATAATATTTATTTTTGTATAATTTATATGCGTTTTTAATATCCAATTGATTTAATGTGAAAGTGCTAACATTTAAAAGTTTTTTTTTTTAAAAAAAAAGATAATATAGGCTTTTTTTTTTTTTGATAATGAATAATATTTTTTGATTATAGTTAAACGTATAATATATTTATAGAAACATTTATTACATCACACCAGCAAATCAAGAATTCAATACAAATAAATTGTAAAAAAAAAATTTTTTTTTTAATTTTCTTATTGCTCAAAAAAGGAAAAATTTTCTTTTGATTAAGAGTAATTTTCCAGCAAATATCATAATATTTAAAAATTGAAAGAAAATGAATTTATATAAAAAAAAATAATACAAAATAATTAAAGAAAAAAAAAACAAAAAAAATTTTTTTTACATACCTCATCTTGTGATAAAGCTCCAGTTTTAGCTGACATTGGATCAATACTTGTATCACCAACTAAACCTCCTTCTTCATCGGGATCATCATCACGGCGATATTTCTTCCATAGGTACCTAAAATATGAATTTAAAAAAAATAATTATTACTGTGACAATAATCTATAGTAAATAAAATAAGATTATAAATAAAAAATTTTAAATCAAACAAGTCCTTGTGATTTAGTGTTGTGAATTTAATAATACGATTTAAATTGCTTGAGGTAGTTTGAAAGACGGCAAAAACATTTTAATTCTAGGAAAATTAGAATCGAATTAATGAACTGCAGAACTCAAAAAAGAACAGATGTTATACGATTTTGTACATGTTCAAATATTATGAATGCATTTGAGTTTGGGTCAAGTAATAATTAAATAACAAACAATGGTTGGAGTAAATAATTTTAAGCATTTCTGGTCCTGAAAACGCAACTTTTATAGAATTAAAACTGTCGGTGATTTATTGGCATAGATTGTACGAATAAATGACGTTGATATCATAATAATAGCTGAAAAAAATCAAATTCTTAATCAGAACTGGCACACTTACAAAACTAAAACAGCAGCTGTTTGGATGGGACAAGTATTTAAGGAGGCCACTTGAAAAAAATTAATCATTTCAAACAAGAGAAATACAATTTTTACACCAAATATTACGTGGGAACAGGTATTAAATCGGAAAAGCTATCAAAAATTATCGAAGAATAGACTGTAATCGAAGATTATTCAGAGAACTATCATCGGTACATTATATTTGAATTACTAATGTTTGTAAGATATAAGGGTAAAAAACACTTTACTTGAAGTTTACTTGAAGGAATGCGTGTTCTTGTTAAGCAAGGTACAAAGTATTTGTATCTTATCTTATACAAAGGAATATTTGCGATTACTTAATATGAAATTCTGGGTTCCAGGAAAGCGTGGCACTCAGGAAATACATTTTTAAGTCAAACTACCGAACAAACAGATATGACCATTGATCTATAATTTATCGAATTCTCTTTGTTTACAAATTCTCTTTGTTATTTTAAATTTAGATCCGTGAAGCCGAATAATTTTGTAAATTAAAAGAGGTAAAGGAAGAGTTAAACATTTTTACCATTAAAAATATTCTTACTATACAAACTTGAATTTTTTCATAATTTCCTTAAAAAAACTTTCTTTTGTGCTAACACACATACATTTTAAGTACATTTTTTACATTTTTATATTTTCTTTTACAGTACTATTATTTCCGTTTTGTGCAACTTATGCCACCCATATTATTAGAAGAAATTTTACTTCCGACTTTAATATTTTTAAGAGTAAAAATGTTTATGGTTACATGAATATTTAGATTATTTTAAAAAATATTGTACATACGTACGTCATGTGCTTAAAATTGTATTATGTATGTATTTTTATAAAAATAATTTTTTGAAAATATGAATTTTCTTATTTACACATTCCTATTTTTAAGTAAGTGGGTAAAATAAGAAAATAAGGTGTATTTTCAAATTGTAGTTTTACATAACATATTTTTATTTAGTTAATATAACGCAGCTGGTGATTACATAGGATATTATGAATGTTATACTCAAAATTTTAGAGTTATATTAACACCAATACTACCAGGTTGTATGACAAGTATTAAATTGCATAATTTTATGAACGGAGTGGATTTTCAATTATCACAACTATTGTATTCTAAATTACTTTATGAACAGAAAATAAAAAGAAAAGCATTAACTGAGACTCTTATACATTTTTAGAGAAATATTGTACAAATTGTAAATACGAAATGTTGTTAGAAGATTCTTTTGTACTTTCACATATCATAATCTTCTATTTACCTTGAAATGCTAAACATTTTGATTAGAAGGTTTGAAATATGAGTTGCAGACTCTTAAGTTTTGACATTTTGACTGTAGTTTCCAATTATACCCAACATTTTTGAGACCTCATTATGAAAATTTCAAATAAATTTTAGATTTCCTCCAAAAATTTAGAATAAATTATTAATTTATTTACATATTTTCATGTAACAAAAAATAGCAATACTGCAGTCTGTTTCCAAAATAAGTCATGCTGTAAAAAAAAGTATTGCTATTTTCTCTATTCCACGATATTCAACGTAAAAAAATATTTTTATTATCATATCGCATCATAATATAAAATCTAAAATAACATAAGTGGTAGGTAGGAATACGCCTAAAAATCTGCCGCCATTCTCTTTTTTTGTTTTTTTTTTATTAAAATATGAATATCTTAGTACTAAAGTTGATTAAAATAAATTTAAGCTGTAAAAAACTGAAACAGCGCGAAAATAGAATTTTGTTTTAAGAAAGTAGAAAAGAGAAACGAAAATGAAATAAAATGGTACGAGTAGGATTTTCATCTATGTAGACTTTAATGGCGTTTCAAGATTTTACAATATGAGGCCACAAAATGATTCTTGGATTTTTCTTTACATTTCTGTTCTTCTCATAGTAATATTTTGTATTTGTTCCTGACATTCTCAGTTTTTATATTTTTTCTGCTCCTATTATTATTTTTTTGTTTTTGTACACTATAAAATTCAATGAGTACAACAGTTTGTGGGCTTATAACTTAATGGAGTGGATGGAATTGCGAGTCTTTTTTTTTCTCGATTTAGCTTTATTCTCTTTTGTTCACTTGCCATAAAAAAAAGAAGTAGAATTGTTGATGATAACACTGTTTTTAGTAGTAGAAGAAGGAAACGAGACTTTTTAACATAAAAATTACATAGATATAAACATTTAGATATTGAAAATTATGTTGATGTTGTACAGTAAAAATAAAATAAAAGAAAAGAAAAGAGGAGAAAACAAATTTTCTTTATAATATTCTATTGCATAAATAAAGGCTTAAAACGAAATTTTTATGTAAGAGGAGAAAAAGCAAAAAAAAATATAAGCAGAGGGAAAATAAATAGAAAAATAAAGGAAATCTCATGTATAGCTTATCCTCCGTTTTTTTTTTTATTTATATAATTCGCATCGCATGTACCATATTAAATGAGTCAGTCTTAAGGGTTATACAAATTTTATTTTTCATTTCGTAACTCTATGAAGTATACAGAATCCAAAAAAAAAAAAGACAAAAAAAGAGAATAAAAATTGAAAAGTTCAAAATGAATTTTTTAAAGTTATTTAAAATTTTGAATTTACGTTTCATATGTAGGAATTGTATTGCAGAATAAAGAAAAACACGAAAATTTCTAAAGCAGATTCACTATATTTCAGTAAATTGGCATGGGTAATTGGCATTTGTAAAATAAAATAACACATCGTATATATCTTCTTAGGAGATCTTATTATTCGAAGCTAAATATTTTCCAAATATGGAAGTTGGGTAAGAGACAAAGACATTTTTAACACTTTTGTAATCATTCCAATCAAAAATTCTATTGTAGACTTGAAAATTAATATTAACTAAAATTCAGGGCAAAAACTAAATTTTTTTATTTTATTTATCCTTAGAGTTGACAAAATGCGATTCAGGAACCCCTTTTCATTGGTTTCATTCTTCCTAATTTTCACTTTGAATTTTTTTTTTTTTTTTTTTGTTTATTCTTTTCTCGTTAGCCTTGTCAAGGATCATTTTCATACCACAAATTTTTATATAAATAGGATATAAGAATTTTTTTTTTCTCTTATTCGTATACAATTTATACACATTATAATAATAAACGATTTTGTTTTTCTTAAACCACAAACTCTTAAAAGGATGTCAGAGAAAATGAAGATAAAGGGAATTGGAATAAAAGCAAGAAAATTGAACCAAAGTAATATTTATGGTTATGACTTAAATAAAATTATTTGTTTTCATTTTATGTATTATATATTTGTGGAAAGACAGAAGAAAAAAAGGAAAAATGTTTCAAAGAGGTACTATAAAAAAAATTTTAAAAAATATAAAGAGAATAAAAAAATATTTAGAAAGTAGAAAGAGTAAAGTAGCATTAAAGAATATTTAAAAGTTTAAAATGATCGAGAAACAAATGGAACGTTTATAATGTCCTTAATAATTAATATTAATATGATCTAATAAGAAAATTGGTTTTCGATTATAATGAAATAAAATTATTCAGCATTCTTCAGTCACAAGACTAGCTTGAAAATTAGTAAGAATATGCTTTAAAATTGAGCTGTTTCTCTATCTCATGGAAGTATTTAATAATAATGTTGAAAGCATTATACTCTCTGTGATAAATGATTAACTCTCAATAATTGGTATTACTACTTTGCGGTATCATGTTTAAGCGAAAACACAATAGTAGTGTTTTTAACAAATTTACTGATTACCTAAATTGCTATTCAGTTTTACAGATTATTAATAACCATCAAAATTTTCATTTTGGAAAGTTTTCCCCGAAATAGAATTTTTAACAAAATCACTTTTAATATAATCTGAATTCTAAATTTTATGCTAGAAATTTACAAGCATAATTCAAATGAATGGGAAGAGTTCATAATGGGAACAGTTCATAATGGTAAGAAACTTTAACTATTATTTTTAATTCATTTTTATATCAAGAGCTTCATTTTATGACCAAAATTTTTCAAGGTTTGTACGTTTTCCAAATTCAATTATTGTTCTGCACATCAGTACATTTTGTGGTGTAATAATTAAAATAGTTTAATTAATATTTTTAAAAAACAATACACAATTTAAAAATTTTTGGCTGACGAACTTATTCACAATCACAGATTTAAAACAGTTTTTCTTCGGTCTGGAATAAAATTAAGAAAAAAATCAATAATTATTTCTGATATAGATCAGAGTTACTTTACAATTACACGTCTTCTTAAAATATTTTCATTATTAAAAATTTCCTATGATTTTTAATTAACCTAATATTTTTTTTTTTCGTTTTAGTAGAAAATATTCTAAAATTTTCCACAGACCACTAATTACATTAATAATAATTATTTTTGTATATTTTAAGTTTATAATTTTTTATATATGTGCAGACTTACACATATACTTAATAAAAATCATTTAGTACACATTAAAAATGAAGGTAAAATTTTTCTATATAAAATTTTCACGGTATTTTCTTTTAACGTGATTAA